ACACACAACCATTTACACAACCACACACATATTGCACATTACACACGCATATAGTGAAACAGACATCGCAGATGGACTTTACCGAGCTTGCTGTCAAGAGCTCCACAGACGTCTGCTGTCCTGGCACTCTCCAGCGCGATTAGATAAGGCGTCAAGGCCTGGTTAAGGTACGTGTAGACCGTTTCCACAACCCGTTCCCTCGGCAGCGTGATGATGTGTAACTGCGTCTGAATGGGTACGCTCATGTTGAGAACCGACCCTCTCTTTATGAAGACGATCTCTCTCTCTCTCTCTCTCACACACACACACACACACACGCACACACACACACGCACACACACACAACCATTTACACAACCACACACATATTGCACATTACACACGCACATAGTGAAACAGATACATCGCATATGGACTTTACCGAGCTTGCTGTCAAGAGCTCCACAGACGTCTGCTGTCCTGGCACTCTCCAGCGCGATTAGATAAGGCGTCAGGGCCTGGTTAAGGTACGTGTAGACCGTTTCTACAACCCGTTCCCTCGGCAGCGTGATGATGTGTAACTGCGTCTGAATCGGTACGCTCATGTTGAGAACCGACCCTCTCTTTATGAAGACGACGCTGCCGATAATCCGCGATGAAAACGTAAACTGTAGGTCAAACTCGTACGACTCTTCTTCCGCATTACCACGACTGCTGGCTCCAGCGTCAAAGCGGTTCCGATCCCCGTGCCACTCGTCGAGACTGTCACACGTCAGCACTTCCTCGCGATTCCTTCCACAGCAATGAGAAGAAAAACCCCTTTCACCGACGACGTCGTTATCGCGGGCTTTTCCCTCGTGATCGTCATCACCACCACCACCATGATCGTCATCATCATCATCACCTACAACTACAGCATCTTCGTCCCTGTTATCATCATCGTTGTTATTATTATTACCTCCTCCTCCTCCTTGTTCTTCTTCTTCTTCTCCTTCTTCTCCCATCTGGACCAGCACGACGTCGTCTTCGTTCCCGTCGCCATAACCAGGCATGGTCATGGTATCATCACCGACAGACGAGCCGCCGATTGCTAGCAATCCCCTCCGCTCTTCATCGCTGTAAGTCCTGCCACTGCTGATCCAACAGTGGGTATCCCGAGTGGTCCGGCTTCTGGTTCTCGATCCGATCTGGTCGCGATTTCCAGCAGAAGGGGAGGAGAAACGACCACCTCGACATGGAGCTCCACCTTGCGGACCTGGAGGGGAGGAATCTCCTGCGGTCAGGATCATTTTGTGGACCAGGAGCGTGGAAGACCGCCCGGACATCGCAAACCGTCGAAATGCCGTCTGTGCTTTCTCCGACATGGCACACGTGGCGAATCTACCATAGCTTCCTCTCAGGAGGGTGGTCACCACCCTTCCCGCGAATTCCGACAGCACGTCCGTGTCATACTGGTCCATGTCCAGGACCACGGAGTCGGACATTGCCCCGTCGCCCCCCACCCTAGGCGAATCCATCCTCTCGAGCTTTCCCGACGATCCGCTCCCTCCCCTCCCACGGGATTACCGACGAGCGCCCACGGTGACGACGGACCGAGCTCCTTCACTTCTCACAGCACATGGCAGAGCCGTGTGTGACGGTCTGTACAGCTCCCAGCTCACCCTGTTCCTGCCGCTATTCCCGCCAATAGGCCAAGGAAGATCCGGAAGACGCCAGCCAAAATCTACGGCGACCCGTGCTTGAAGAGTTATGAAAGTCCACAAAATCGAGGCAGCGAACGCACTCAACACCGGCAGCAGCAGAAAAACCCCGCTCCGCATGCCACGCCCGGCATGTCCGCTTTTGTCTGTAGTGGTTTTGCGTTTGCGTCCTTCGCGGGGGCAAGTACACAACACCATACCAACCTGGCACTACACAGCTCTACTCTCACAGAAAATTCAGACAATGAGCTCTCACTACACAGCTCTACTCTCACAGATACACATGAGTTCTCACTTCTGTTTCCGTCCTAGCGTGGATCCTAGCTTGCATTTGTTTTCCCGTCCTTCCCGCCTCGGCCTCCGCAAGAGCGGTGTCGCGACGCTGTGCTCAGCCGCCCTTGGTCACGGCTACCGCGCCTTCTCGCATCTCCCGCTTACCCGCCGACCGCATTGGCGAATCCTCGCATCCCCCGAGTCGTCTCACCGACAAATGGCCCGCCGCTTCCGTTGCGCCCATCTCCCGCGAAAACTACGGTACCCGTCATCTCCCGCGAAAGGACCGACCACTTCCCGCTGTCGTGTCTGCCCACAAATATGCCCGTCACTGCACCTCCCTAGACCTGCCTGGTTGGCTAGAGTATAATATCTTCGTCAGTTACAAGTTCGAATCCGGCTTCCGCCATAACGTTGCGCACTCCTGCACACATCACACTGCGGGCCTCATTGGACCACTCACCAAACGTGAAAAAGACAGCAGACACCGCCATGTGGGGTTGGGGAGTGGTAGGGGGAGGTGCAGTGACTGGCCATTGCTCGGCGCTACGGGTTGCGCCACCGATTTCCCCCATCGGCAATGCCTGCCCACCCCTCGTCACCGTGATGAGGGACTGGTACACCCTTGCTCTCGCACCACAGCTGTGGTGCCAACCTACCCCGTGGGCTGGGGAGATCCGCGTTGGTTGGTGTTCTGTGTACTATACGTAGACTACCGTCTTCCCCCGAACATAATGCGCCCTAAAAATGAATATATACGAGTTATATTTCCAGCCAGATACAGCAGAAATGAGGTTGCCTTGTGTAGGTGAGAGGATGAAATAGATGGGTACGAAAGAGCTATGGCCGGTGCATCTTACCACGTTCTAGCCGAAGATACGCGCTCCAATTTTGGTGAGTAGGTTGGCTGCCCTGTAATAGACTGGATGGTCTGCGGCACCTTAGGGTCTGATCCCACCACTACACTACAGCCCAGTTACAGTGTAGTTTTCGGATCCCACCACTTCCCGACTTCGTCGCCGCCGCCGAAATATGTTGCCACACGTGCAAGCGTAGGGTCTGATCCCACCACTACACTACGACTGTAGTCGCCAAAAAGCACTACAAAGATGTCAGCGGCCGTGGCGGAACGAAAAAGAAAAATTGGATCCCACCAGGGCAACTTCTTCGGTGCTTTTCCTGAACCCGCGGCGGTTCTTTGTGGGCTGTTGCAGAGGGCAGCCAA